GGGGCGATCCTGTCCCAGAGGAAGGGCATCAAAGAACTCATGCACCCAGTGGCTTTCTTCTCCAGGAAACTAACTCCTGCGGAAAGGAATTATGATATCGGGGATCGGGAGCTCTTGGCGATTAAGGTGGCACTAGAGGAATGGAGATACTTGTTAGAAGGGGCGGTACACCCAATATTGATTTTTACGGATCATAAGAACCTAGAATATCTGAGGACAGCTAAACGTCTGAGGCCACGTCAAGCCAGGTGGGCGCTGTTCTTTTCACGGTTCTTTTTCCATATAACCTATAGGCCAGGGTCTAAGAACACAAAACCAGATGCGCTCTCCCGCATGTTTGGGGATCCCGAAGAGAATCCCAAGCCAGACACTATCCTGTCCCCAGGAAATTTCTTAGTTCTCCAATCGGAGCTCCATTCTCAACTGCAGACCGCGTCCGTAGGAATGAAAGTTCCACCTGGTGTTCCCTTACTAAAATAGGGAAGGACTTTTTTGGAAGGAGGATCAGATTTGTGGGTCCCTGAGGAGGCCCGTACATTGGTATTAAGATACTGCCACGATCACCCGCTGGCCGGGCACTTTGGGGTACGTAAGACCTTGGAGCTGCTGCAGCGTACTTTCTGGTGGCCTAATATGGCCAGGGAGTGCGAAACCTACATAAAGACCTGTCCCGTTTGTCAGAGAAACAAACCCACTAGGGAATAAAGCTTGGGTCTCTAGCGCCCATTACCCATACCCGACAGGCCATGGACCATGATTTCCATTGACTTTTATCGTGGAACTTCCACCCTCTCAGGACCACACAGCAATCTTCGTGATTGTAGACCGCCTGTCCAAGATGGCCCATTTTGTACCTTTAAAGGACACACCTACGGCCCTTGAGACAGCACGTGTGTTTATTAAGGAAGTGGTAAGACTCCACGGAATTCCCAGGGACATTGTATCTGACAGAGGGGTTCAGTTTACGTCCAGGTTCTGGAAAGCTCTATGTGAAACCCTGGGAATTAAGTTATCGTTCTCTTCAGCTTATCACCCACAGACCAATGGCCAGACGGAGCGTACAAACCAGACCCTAGAGCAGTACCTCAGGTGCTATACCACCTTCCTCCAAGATGACTGGGTTACTCTCCTGCCGCTTGCGGAATTCGCATATAATAATGCAAGTCACTCTGCTACTAGACAGTCCCCGTTTTTCGCAAACTATGGGTTCCACCCTGTATACCTGCCAGATCTAATCCCAGAGGTCGCAGTCCCAGCCACGCAGGATATGTTGACCTTTCTGTCAACCAATAGCAAGGTATTGCAGGAAGCAATGGGCAAAGGCAAGCCCAGGATGACAATAAGAGGGCGTTTGATAGGAAGAGAAGAGGGGAATTGAGTTTGCGGCCAGAGGACCAGGTTTGGTTGTCCACCGCAAATTTAAAAATGTCCTGCCCTTCGAAGAAATTGGCTCCCAAGTTCTTGGGGCCTTTCCGGGTCAAACGGAAGATCAACGAGGTGGCATACGAGCTGGCACTGCCCGAATCTATGAAGGTTCATCCGGTCTTCCATGTGTCCCTGTTAAAACCGGCAACTCCAGACCCCCTTCCCGGATCGAAGGTCTAAGCCACCGGAGGCAGTAGACGTGGATGGGGAGGAGGAATTTGAAGTTGAAGCTATCTTAGATTGCAGGAAGAGGGGAGGCCAAACTCAGTTTCTGGTTAAATGGAAAGGATATGGGCAGAGGAAAATTCATGGGGAGCCGGCCCAAAATGTGCACGCCCCAAGGCTTGTGCGGGGAATTTTTTCGGAACCAGCCGTTGATAGTAGGGGTCGGTTGGGCATCCGGAGGTTGCCCGTTAGGGGGGGGCAATGTCAGGGATCCCGGGTCCTCGGCGGCGCGCGCATGCGCAGACCGCCGATCCGTCCCAGCCGGCGAGCGCAGAATCCTCGGCGATCGTGGCGGCCGCGCATGCGCAGTAGCGATCGCGGCAGCACCAATGGGAGAGCAGGGCGCTCTATTTAAAGCTGCCCTGTGCATCTCCAAGTTGCCGCAAGGTCTTGTTCCTGTTTCTGTAAGTACGCTTCCTTGTTGCCAAACTCTGCCTGTTCTGTTTATGCTGACCTTCTCCTGCTCTGACCCCGGCTCGTCCCTGACCATCCTTCTGCCTGACCCTCTCTGTTACCGCGCTGCCCGCTACCTGCTGAACCTGGCTTGTGACCCCGACCATTCTCCGCTTACTCCCCCTGTACCACGCTGCCCGCACAATACCGACCCGGCTAGTCTGACCTCGCCTACTCCTGATAGTTGCCCATCCATCCCGCTCGGATCGGGATCTGTCATCCCATCCATCCCGCTCGGATCGGGATCTGTCATCCCATCCATCCCGCTCGGATCGGGATCTGTCATCCCATCCATCCTGCTCGGATCGGGATCTGTCGTCCCCTTCACAGCAGGCTCAACCCGGGCACATACCCTCTCAGCGGGACCCCTCTGCCGCCGCCGGGGGTGCCCAGGGACGCGACCTGGTTTCACTGGCATCTTGTTTCAAGTCTTGCACCAAGTCCATCCCCACCATCAGGGGCTCTGGTGAAAAGGCAGACTGGGACTTAGACTCCGCGTCCTGGGAAACCCCGTGCCGTGGACCACTAGAGATCCCGTTGGGCGGAGCCTGACAGACACATGCTCACACCAGACAGAAGAGGAAACAGACAGTTCCAATCAGAAGAGCTTTATGGAGGCAGAGAAGGCCAAATAGGTATTTAATGCACTTGTGTGTTCCTCTATTGTTTGGCAGTGCAGGTAGATCTGTGTCTTGAAACTGTTGTGTGTGTTTTACTTGTAGTTTCCACCGAACGAATATAACGAATATAACGAATATAACGAACTTATCGAATCGAATATAGCAAATCGAATTTACTGAATCTAACGAATTTATCAATCTATTGAATCAACCCAATGTAATACAAGTTAAACCATTGTATGATAAATGAAACAAGCCATTGTAAGCAGTTATATGAAGAAGATTGAAGTTATTAAAGAAGTTAACTAAAGTATTCGGTGTGCTCTTTAAACCTACTGCATCCATAGAGCGGCATTGGAGGAATTACAGAGTAAAGTCAGTCTACTCAAACAAAGAAACAGCAATTGCATAATTTTTTTCTAATGCCACAGCGCACTAGGCACCAAAGGGTGCTGCGCCTGTCACACATCACAGCACAAATACTGAAACATTTCCCAGATGGGGGCTACAGTACTGATAACATAATCAGTCAGTGCTTTGATGGTGCTTTTGTAATGAGTGGAATAGGAGGTGAGGTGCAGGCATTACTACAGAAAAAGATTGGCCGACCTGTACCATACATACACTGTCACAACCGTCAGCTTCATCTGACAGTGGTGCATGCTATGCAAGCTGAGCCAGGTGCCCAAACTTTTTTTGAGTTATCAGGTTCTCTCCACTCATTTATCTCCACCACATTACACAGCACTACAACGTGCCATCGAGAGGTGGGAGGCGGGGCACAGTTTTAGGTTCATGTGACCGCCATGATTTGCTGTCACATGATCGGAAAAGGTCCCGATCGAAAGGGGAGATTGGGACCTTTCCGGGAGTAGTGGACATATGTGCTGGGAGCGCCCAGGTGCCCAAACTTTTTTTGAGTTATCAGGTTCTCTCCACTCATTTTATCGCCACCACATTACACAGCACTACAACGTGCCATCGGGAGGTGAGAGGCAGGGCACAGTTTTAGGTTCATGTGACCACCGTGATTTGCCATCACGGCGGTCACATGAATGGAAAAGGTACCGATCTGAAGGGGAGATCGGGACCTTTCCAGGAGTAGCGGACATATGTGTTGGCAGCTTTGAGCTTGAAATGAAAGCAGTGATTGTTGGACTATGCCAGCTCAGGTCCTCTTATGAAGCCAATGCTGACTAAACGTGAGAAAGGAAAAGTGAATGAGGCAGGACTGATTGGTGTTGAGAAGAGGGAAGGGCTGTGTGCAGAATAGAAGAGGCAAGAGGTATAGTAAGGAATGTACACAATGACAGCAGGCTGGAAGTGAGGAAAGTGTGAGGCTGGGAGCTGCTGGGCGTGCAGACAGGGAGGGAGGAGAGACACATGGCCATTCAGCACATTTCTTTGCCAGTGCAGCCCGGACTCCGCCAACATACCTCGACCAGACCACCTAGACTTTTTTATATGCTAGTGCAGGGGTGGCGAACACGCGGCTCTCGAGCCGTGTGCGGCTCCCGGCCAAAATGAATGCGGCTCTTTGCCTCTTATCATATTTTGTATACTGTGGCTCTTTGCCAAGTTTCATGTTTCTCTTATTTTTACCTGTTCCTCTATCCAGCGGCGCGCTGTCTTCCGGCTTCTGTAGTGTGAGCACTGGGCATGACAGCCGGGTGCCAAGTGCGCATGCTTTTTGTGAATGGTAAGGCGGTACCTGGGACACATGACAGATCCCAGAAGCCACCGGACCAATCACAAAGCGCAAGTGCTTCTCGCTCATGCGCACTGGGCACCCGGCTGTCATGCCGAGCGCCATTACAGAAGCCGGGAAGACAGCGCGCGCGGCTGGATCGAGGAACAGGTAAGATCAAACAAAAACTCTGCGGAAGTAAGAGCGGGTACCTGTCAAATTCAGGTACCCGCTCCCCACCTCCCCAAAGGTCAGCAGTCATCTGTACTGTCCGCAGTCTCTGGTCATCCCTGTGCTTTTTCGCAGTCTCTGGTCATCCCTGTGCTGTCCGCAGTCTCTGGTCATCCCTGTGCTGTCCGCAGTCTCTGGTCATCCCTGTGCTGTCCGCAGTCTCTGGTCATCCCTGTGCTGTCCGCAGTCTCTGGTCATCCCTGTGCTGTCCGCAGTCTCTGGTCATCCCTGTGCTGTCCGCAGTCTCTGGTCATCTCCTGTACTGTGTCCGCAGTCTCTGGTCATCCCTGTGCTGTCCGCAGTCTCTGGTCATCCCTGTGCTGTCCGCAGTCTCTGGTCATCCCTGTGCTGTCCGCAGTCTCTGGTCATCTTCTGTACTGTGTCCGCAGTCTCTGGTCATCTCCTGTACTGTGTCCGCAGTCTCTGGTCATCTCCTGTACTATGTCCGCAGTGTCTGGTCATCTGTGCTATGTCCGCAGTCTCTGGTCTATCTCCTGTACTATGTCCGCAGTCTCTGGTCATCTCCTGTACTGTGTCTGCAGTCTCTGGTCATCTCCTGTACTATGTCTGCAGTCTCTGGTCATCTCCTGTACTGTGTCCGCAGTCTCTGGTCTATCTCTTGTACTATGTCCGCAGTCTCTGGTCATCTCCTGTACTATGTCCGCAGTCTCTGGTCTATCTCCTGTACTATGTCCGCAGTCTCCGGTCATCTTCTGTACTGTGTCCGCAGTCTCTGGTCATCTCCTGTACTATGTCCGCAGTGTCTGGTCATCTGTGCTATGTCCGCAGTCTCTGGTCTATCTCCTGTACTATGTCCGCAGTCTCTGGTCATCTCCTGTACTGTGTCTGCAGTCTCTGGTCATCTCCTGTACTATGTCTGCAGTCTCTGGTCATCTCCTGTACTGTGTCCGCAGTCTCTGGTCTATCTCTTGTACTATGTCCGCAGTCTCTGGTCATCTCCTGTACTATGTCCGCAGTCTCTGGTCATCTCCTGTACTATGTCTGCAGTCTCCGGTCATCCCCTGTACTATGTCCGCAGTCTCTGGTCATCTCCTGTACTGTGTCTGCAGTCTCTGGTCATCTCCTGTACTATGTCTGCAGTCTCTGGTCATCTCCTGTACTGTGTCCGCAGTCTCTGGTCTATCTCTTGTACTATGTCTGCAGTCTCTGGTCATCTCCTGTACTGTGTCCGCAGTCTCTGGTCTATCTCTTGTACTATGTCCGCAGTCTCTGGTCATCTCCTGTACTGTGTCTGCAGTCCATTAGTTCAGAATTTTATTTTGTATACTTGTGTGTTAGAGTGAGAGAGAGAAGGGAGAGAGAGAGAGACAGGTGCCACAGCAACCTCCAGGGTAGTTGATGTGTTAACTCTGGCTAAGTTGCATTTGATGTCTGTGTTGAGGGTGGACACTTACCTTGAAATGAACACATTGTTGTTTTGTAAGGGGAAGAAAGTGTTATGGTGAATAATATGGTTTTAATTATGTGTTTTTGTGTGAGTGTTTGTCTGTTTTGGCAGGTCACTGCGTGGTGTGGCTCTCTGACTTTCACAGTTTAAAATTTTGGCTCTTTGTGTCTAACTTGTTCGCCACCCCTGTGTTAGTGCTTTATTCCTTTTCAAAATTAATTAGCATCCTTTTAAACAAACACCAGGCTTACTGGTTGATTGGCAGAGTATTTCTAATGTACATTTTCCCATTTTGAAACTATCTTTAATTATTATTAAAAGAGCACAAATTGACCAGTTTCGATATTTCTAATATAGCATATAGTGACAATGGACTGCACTTGTTCGTATATGTGCAAAGAAAATTAGTCATTGCCATCAAAATATATATATCGTAGCTGTGTTGCTACTCTACATCGAAATAACCAACAGAAAATGGCGCCTGCACAATCGTGCGGACGCCCGCGAATAAGACTTCTTTAAAATGGCACATTCCGAACGCGCATGCGCCTAGCATATAAATTGGCGTCACACGGCTCAGCGTTATTGGCAAGTCCCCCAAGACGACGTGCGTGCGCACAAAACGCGTAGGAGGAGCCAGCAACGCCGTGACGTCACGCCGCCGGAGCATTGTGGAGCTCCGGCGGCCATCTTAAACACTGGAGGGTTAGTCCATGTTGCTGCTTGTTTTATTTATATACCGTATTTCATTTGCTAAAGAATCTTCGTTTACCCCAATAAATCAATATACCTACTACACTATGGAGATGTCTCTGCTTTGACTCCCCTGGGGAGTATTAATTCACAGCCATCCACTTGACCACCAGAGAGGGAGCCTTCACAATCCCCATTGAGCAGTCCCCAGGCTATCACTTAAGGGGAACTCTGGACCACCCTGATGTCCTACTAAAAGTATCCAGGACCATTGAAGGGAATACACAGGATTACAGACACTACCCAGACTGGCAGATGACATCAGGAGAAATATTTAAACGCACATTAAATTGTGTGTTCTGGTGAGTGCGCATTCTTTCCGCACTTTAATTTACAGCACCTTACCACTAGGAGGATACAGTTACATGAAAGCACCTGAAGCCACTTCAAGTCACCATATGAACTGTTCACCTAATGATTTATACTCATAATGTGTTTACTTCTAGCGCTGCACTTCAGACTATCGGAAATGTCCATGTCATCTGGGCATTGATATGGACACCCAAGGAAGGATCTTCCCACTCTGTAGTAGTTAACCGCATGCCGCCCAGCCACTGTAGATATACGGCGGCAGGGCGGCACTCACAGGCAAAACCACGTTTTAGGACGTGTGTTTTGTAAACAAATAGGGGGTGCGCGCAAGGTGCGCCGCCGCCCTATTTGTCCCACGGATCACCGCCGCAGATGTCAGTCGCCGGGTCACAGCCGCTCCTTAGCGGCTATGTCCCGGCGATCGGCGGCAAACAGTGACAGAGAGCACAGCTGCAGTAGCTGTGCTGTCTGTCACTTCCTTCTCAGCTCGAGGATGAGCTGATCGAGAAAGAACAGTTTCTCTTTCTCGATCAGCCTTGTCCCGCCCAGTACACACCCCACCCCGCCCCCTAGTAAAACACTCCCCTCACTCCTATAACCCTTCCCTGCAAAATAAAGTTAACCCATTCCTCCCCATTGCCATTAGTACAGTGTCAGGTTTTTTTTTTTGCACTGATCACTGTATTAGTGTTTTTGGGGATGTCAGTGACCCCAAGTCAGTACCCCCCAATGTCAAAATGTCCGCCGCAGTCCCGCCATAAGTCGCTGGTCACTGCCATAAGTCCCTGATCGCTGCCATAATTCGCTGATCGCCGCCATTATTAGTATAAAAAAACCCTAAAAATCCCAGTATCTTTCCCGCCATTTGTAAACGCTATAACTTTCACGTAAACCAATTCATTTACACATATTGGGGGTTTTTTTTTAGCAAAGACATGTCGCAGAATGCATTTTGGCAGAAATTTATGACTAAATTTGATTTTTGCATTTTTTTTTTTTACTGGACATGTTTGATAGCAAAAAGTCCAAAATATTGTTTTTTTTCCTCAAAATTGTCAGGCTTTTTTTTTTATAGCACAAAAAATAAAAACCGCACAGGCGATCAAATACCACCAAAAGAAAGCTCAATTTGTGGGGAAAAAAGGATGTAAATTTCATTTATGTACCATATTGCATGACCGCGCAATTGTCCGTTAAACTAGCGCAGCGCTGTATAGCAAAAAAAAATTGCAGTATTTATACCATAGTTTGTAGACGCTATAACTTCCACACAAAGCAATCAATATACACTTATTGGGATTTTTTTTTACCAAAAACATGGAGCAGAATACATTTTGGCCTAAATTTATAACCAACTTTGAGTTTACTATATATTTTTTATAGCTGAAAATAAAAAATATTGTTTTTCTTCAAAATTTTTGGCCTTTTTTTGTTTATAGCGTGAAAAATAAAAAGCGCACAGGTGATCAAATTACACTGAAAGAAAGCTCTATTTGTGTGAAAAAAAGGACGTAAATTTTGTTTGGGTGCAGCATTGCATGACTGCGCAATTATCAGTTGAATTAGTGCAGCGCCGAGTAGCAAAAAGAGGCCTGGTCATTAAGGGGGAGCTCAAGTGGTTAAGGTAGCCAATTTTCCCTAAGGAAATCATTGGATATTCTCCTGAGACCTTTCTCCCGCTGGTGGTCGGTGAACACATCATACGCCTTGGGATACCTGGTCTGAAGAGATCCTGGTTGCTGGCTCCCTCTGGTGGTCTACAATCAGAGCTCTGCTATTTGGAAACCCTGTTGAAATGCTGTGATAGATGCTGCCACTAGTCAGAACACCTGGGTCCAGATGCTCACACCTAGATGATCTCATCATCTACATGCGTTTTATATAGTGCTATCTGGTTAGTGCATACTATTCTCATTTCCTCACCGTTGATGTCACGAATATTGTTCGTTTGCTACATATAGACTGTCACCCATCTTCACGTTTGAATTTTGGAAATTAATTCATGAACTTATCTATGCACGGTGACTCATAGCTGTGTGCGTTATACACAATTTTGCACACATATAAGCCTATATGTCATTTTTGGAGTAATATACATATGTCTTCATTTTATTTGTTTTATCATTGATAGGAGCGCTGCATGTTTGTTTTATATATATATGTTATTCTAAGAGGTTTTCTGAGGTTTTACCTTTTTTTGCTAGCTGCTCCACTACACAGATCTAGCACTCGTTTCTTTTAGATATTTGTTGGGTTTTGAAAACCAGCATGCCATCTTGGATCCTCTCTCTGAGATTTCAGAGAATACTGCTGCAGGAATGGATATTTGTACAGAAGCATCAGGATTATTAGTACAGCTGGGAAACAGAAATTCTTTGAAATACAGTCAGGTCCATAAATATTGGGACATCAACACAATTCTAACATTTTTGGCTCTATACACCACCACAATGGATTTGAAATGAAACAAACAAGATGTGCATTAACTGTAGACTGTCAGCTTTAATTTGAGGGCATTTACATCCAAATCAGGTGAACGGTGTAGGAATTACAACAGTTTGCATATGTGCCTCACACTTGTTAAGGGACCAAAAGTAATGGGACAGAATAATAATCATAAATCAAACTTTCACTTTTTAATACTTGGTTGCAAATCCTTTGCAGTCAATTACATCCTGAAGTCTGGAACGCATAGACATCACCAGACGCTGGGTTTCATCCCTGATGATGCTCTGCCAGGCCTCTACTGCAACTGTCTTCAGCTCCTGCTTGTTCTTGGGGCATTTTCCCTTCAGTTTTGTCTTCAGCAAGTGAAATGCATGCTCAATCGGATTCAGGTCAGGTGATTGACTTGGCCATTGCATAACATTCCACTTCTTTCCCTTAAAAAACTCTTTGGTTGCTTATGCAGTATACTTTGGGTCATTGTCCATCTGCACTGTGAAGCGGCGTCCAATGAGTTCTGAAGCATTTGGCTGAATATGAGCAGATAATATTGCCCGAAACACTTCACAATTCATCCGGCTGCTTTTGTCAGCAGTCACATCATCAATAAATACAAGAGAACCAGTTCCATTGGCAGCCATACATGCGCACGCCATGACACTACCACCACCATGCTTCACTGATGAGGTGGTATGCTTAGGATCATGAGCAGTTCCTTTCCTTCTCCATACTCTTCTCTTCC